CACGGTGAGATATTAATTTTTGTAGATTAAATTCCTTTGAGTGATAGGATAAATTGGAGAATTTCTTGAAGGACGTGGTTATTTTTCTTTTAAACGCCAGGAAAATCGTTTATCTGGACAAAAAATGTGACACAGGTGCCCCTTAATTTTAAGTACGAGTGCCATCGTATTCGTTTCCTCTCCCTATGAAATAGAATGAAAATAAAAAATATTCCAACGTCGTTTACTTAAAAAATTACTGGCTAAACCCCACAACTAAACTAAAAAGGAGGTCTCTTTCTGAACTGCAAAGAAAATTTAAACGTGTAGGAACGGATATTAGGGAGATGGGGGTATGTGATTTGACGATGGGTGGAAATTGATCGTGTCCAGTGTCGCTTTTGTATTAGCGGTGTTGAACCTTTGAGTTCTGCCACCAGAGTTTGTTAGCTTGAATCTTATTTATATTGTTCTAGAAACTTGTTTGGTCTGATTCGGTTCAGTTCCTCCACTTCTGTACTTGTAATTTCTGTCGATGTACAGGCCAGAGCGCTAGTAAGGCACTATGAGACCGTGGCGGATCGGAGTTCGGTTCCCGTCATCATATACAATATGCCGGCCAACACGGGCATTGACCTGACAGCAGACCTCATCAGCCAACTCGCTCCACACCCAAACATCATCGGGCTCAAAGACAGCGGTGGAGACGTAAGTGTTTCTGAATTAACCTTTCTCTCTGCTCTCTTGAGATTTCAGGTTTGCAGGGCAGAAGTGTTGATCGTGGTGTACGATTTTAAGTTTTCACGGCGGTGAGTCTGAAGATGGCTGTCTTCCGGGTCGTAACTCCGTGTAGTCTGGTAGAATTTTACTGACGTTTCAGAGGTCATACTGCCTCCGTCATCAGAGTATGAAGATTTCTGTCTTCCGGGTCGTAACTCCATGTAGTCTGGTAGAATTTTACTGACGTTTCAGAGGTCATACTGCCTCCGTCATCAGAGTATGAAGATTTCTGTCTTCCGGGTCGTAACTCCATGTAGTCTGGTAGAATTTTACTGACGTTTCAGAGGTCATACTGCCTCCGTCATCAGAGTATGAAGATTTCTGTCTTCTGGGTCGTAACTCCATGTAGTCTGGTAGAATTTTACTGACGTTTCAGAGGTCATACTGCCTCCGTCATCAGAGTATGAAGATTTCTGTCTTCCGGGTCGTAACTCCATGTAGTCTGGTAGAATTTTACTGACGTTTCAGAGGTCATACTGCCTCCGTCATCAGAGTATGAAGATGGCTGTCTTCTGGGTCGTAACTCCGTGTAGTCTGGTAGAATTTTACTGACGTTTCGGAGGTCATACTGCCTCCGTCATCAGGGCGGTGAGTGAAGACAGCCATCTTCTGTTGACTGTGGTCTTCAGGCTTCTGACACCACGTGGTCTTGAGTAACAGCGGCTTTCCTCCATATTTTGGTTGTGACGCCGTGTAGGCCACGACCGACATCTTTTAGTTCGATTTGACTGTGTTTTATAATTTTGTGGATTAAGCCAACGTTCTTTTTCCAGTTCAGAATTAACTTAATAGGTAGAACGTAAGTGGCTAATGGGACTCGAATGTTCGTCATCTTCTTCAACAAGTACCAGCCAATGGGCCAGATTAATCAAGTCCACCCCTTTAAATAGGCAATTTCTTTCTGATTTCATCCACACGTGTTGCATGTCCCACCAATCTCATTCCTTTGCTCTGACCGTCCTAACTTTATTAGTTTACGTGTTCAAATCATAAACTTTCTTAACACCCAGTTTCCTCATAGTTCTCAGTTACTTCCACACGTCATCATAGACACATTTTTTTCCTCTAAATATCCCTGATTTATACTCCAGAACTTGTTGGAGTTAGATACCAACCTTGGTACTAAAAATTAATAATAATATTAATTATAGTTTTGTGTTTTCTTTTTAAGGGGAACGGGAAGACAGATCTTAACTGAGTTTTAGCGACATTCCACGAATTTAAAATTTAGTTATGAGCCTTTAGTTAGTATTTGAACTTTTCCATGTTTCTAAGGGAATTATTAGTTTGAATCGTTATCTCATGTAGATTGTTACCATCTACAAGACTACACGTTGCCATAATCCAAATTGTTACCGCCATGAAAACGTTTAAACTCAGATTTATCGAGTTTAATTATAACTTCGTTTTGTATTCTCTTGACGAGACACAGCCTGTTTTTATCTGTAAATCAGCACTTATTTGTGTCTAATATAATTTATTTATTTCTTGAGATATTACATTTTTTTCCAATGATGCAACATATTATCCACGCATCTCTGCGTAATTCAATTAGCCGTACGTAACCCATAATCAAATTTTCAGTTTTAAAACTTCTATATTCTTAACTCGCTGTACCATCTGTAGAGCTGTTTGCAGCTTAATTGTTTTCTCAATTCCCATTTTATATCTCGGAGAATCCGCTGGCTTCCACAAACGATTTCTAACTTCGTTTCAATAAAACCCATTCATCCGATACCCGAACGACGAAACCACCGCACGCCAGTTCAGTTTGTAGTCGTGACACATGAACCCAAAATTCTACATAAAAGCGAATACCAAGGTCTACTTGCTTCGACATTCCTCTTCATCACAATTAGTATCCACAGCCTCATTTCGCGGGCTGGTTTGAAAATTCAGTTAACTACATTTTAAAGGCATCTAGAACTGACATTTCCAAACGCTAATTTGCATCTTATTGCCGTAACGTTTAGTTTTTCGTGACATAAATGAACGTGTTGGTTCATTTAGCCAAAAGCATTTCGTGATGAATTATTCTGCCACAAAAATAGAGACCTGGTGGAACACCAACGACCCTTTTGTTGACAAAGGTAATTAATTGTAGACGGAAACTTGTATTTAATTAAACATTTCAGACCAACGACACGAGGATGTTAGAAGGCAATTATTATTATTATTAGTGTTCTGTCTGAGGACAGGTCCATATGAACAGGATCCTTCCATTCTTTTCTCGGACTGGGACCTGTTCATATACGTTCTTGGCAGATGATCCAGAAGTGGTTTGCCATTGCCTTCTTCTGTGTGTGAATGGAGTAATTGTTGGGATGCCACGGAG